TTGAAAAGCAAAAGAAAAATCCCTTTTAACGGTTTGGTAAGCAAAGGTGTACCGGTGACTCGATCTCCTGGAAGTGGACAGAGCAACGGCATGTGCTCAAGCACAAGCTGGTCTGGTCCAGATGACCTAAAGGTTTGAAAAGCTCCGCTCTGAAAACGTGAGGAAAAGCCAGTTTGCTTGTGTTGCCCACGATCCTGAAGGGATTGGGACTAGAGACCAATGAATGGATTTCCTTTTGACAACAGCTCCTTTCTGCGCTCATCCAAACCATCTTGGTGTCTCTCCTGGAGTTCAGATTGGAACCTTCCAGAAGCTTCCCACAGTCTTCCCAGTGTGTCTGTGCCCTGCCCTGGCCCATCTCCACTCAGGAGTTCAGCCAATTGCTCTTGCAACAGAAATCACATCTTGCCATCCTCTATTAAACCTTCCAATGGTTTTCCATTGTACTCAGAACAGATTACAGTCCATACCAGAGCTTGCTTTTGTTTGAGTTCCAACTTGTTCTGTCAACCTCTCCACCCCCCACCCCTACCCCTGCGCCACCTCACCACCCATCCATGGCTGTCAAACCTTTACTCAGAACACCACCATGGCCTGCTTCTTGAGCATAACAATCTTGGGCCCATGGCTTAGTTTGAGTGTTATCTTCTCTCAGGGGCCCTCCTCGCCAGGCCATTGCAATCTGCTACGATCCCCTATTTGCAGGCACTCCCATAGAATCTTTTGAAAAACAGCCTCAGATTGCTTATGCAGCTCATCTTTTCTGTTCTTTTGTTTTCCTCAACATCTAAAGCAGACCACAGCATGTAGACCAAGTCCTGTGGTTACTAATCCTGGGCCCTTCAGATGCCTAAAGTGTGGAGATGAAGTTGAATCCTTAGGAAAGGTCAGGAACAGTCACGCCATGTTGTTGTTGTTATTGTTAGGTGCCGTTGCATCGAGTATGACTCATAGCGATTCTATGAATGATACATCTGAACCCTGTTCTATCCTGTGTCATCCTCACGCTTCCTGACACACAAGAGCCTATTGTGGCAGTCACAATGTCAATCCATCTGATTGAGGGTCTTCCTTTCCTTTGATGACCCTCCACCCTTCCCAACATCATGTCCTTCTCTAAGGAATAGCACTTTCTAGCAACATGCCCAAATTATGTTAGGTGAAGCCTAATTATTCTTGCCTCCAAAGAGCACTCTGGCTGCCCCCTCTCCAAGACATATCTGTTTGCTTTTTTGGCCTTCCATGGGATGTTTGGTGCTTTTCTCCAACACCATAGGATAATAGTTAAAACCATGATCATTATACTTTTTGAGTACCTGCTTAGAGAACTCTGGTGGTCTAATGTGGGGGGAGTTGCTGACTAAGCCAACAGTCACCCGTGGTTCGTTCCACCAGCAGCTCCTCAGAAGAAAGAAGGCAATCTCCTTCAGTGCAATTTACATTTTCATAAATCCAGGGGAGGGTCAGCTAGGAGTCAGTTCTAGCTCAATATCAATGAGTTATTTTGAGTTAGACTTGTCATTTGCCATTGAGTTGGAACCGACTTATCCAGTGGGTTTTCAGAGGCTGTAAATCGCATGGAAGGAGATTGTCCGTCCTTCTCCTATGGAGCAGCTGGAGGATTCAAATCTTGTGCCTTTATGTTAGCTGTGCAGCTACTTACCACTAGGCCACCAAGCTCCCTTAGTTTGACAATGACGATGCATGTTGTCCTACACACATTCATAAATTTAAAATACAAAAATATTCACATTTCCATCCCCCTAAAACTTTAAGAGGCTGTTCTTTGTTATAGTACACTAAATTCCTAGGCAGATTGTATCAGGCACAGAGAAATGGTGTTCAAGATTTCAATGCTAGTAGGAAGTACCAGAAGGTTCAGTCAGTATTTCTGTATGTCTAAAAAGAGAGACAGAAAGAAAGACTGAGGAAATGATGCATTCAAATTATGGTGCTAGAGAAAATACTGACTATAGTATAGACTTCCAGAAGAACAAGCATATCCATCTTGGATAAGGTGCAGCCAGAATTCTCCTTACGAGCAAAGATGGCAAGTTTTTGGCCAATGGACCCTGAGCATGTCATGACAAAGTATGCATCCCTGGGTGAGGACATGCTTGGTAAAACAGAGGGTCCATGAACCAGCAGAAGACACTCAGTGAGACAGACTGACAGAGTGGCTGAACGAACGGACACAGACAGCAGTGTCCGTGAGGATGGGCCAGGGTTGGATAGCATTTCATTCCATTGTATCTACAGTTGTATGTATAATAGACTCAACAGCATCTAACAAACAGGACAATAATAACAGCAAAAGGAGTGAGGCTACTCAGGAATGTGGAAAGTTACTTTAAGTGGATGGAATGTATTCTTGCCATTTCCCCTCACCACAGTTACATTGTGTGACTGTCACATTATGTACCATAGGCCCCTGGGAACATCACCTTGTAAGGGACAGGCAGTGAGTGATCTCTGTCAGACTCCCCAGCTAATGAGACACCCTCCTATCTCCTGCTGGGAGGTAATGGGTTCAACCGGCTGGGAACACAACCTCAGCAGGAGTCCCAGGATCTCTTCTGGAAGGGCGAGTGACACAGAAATATACCGCAGAAATATGTTTGCTGTTTTACTGGCAAACATTTTCTAATTCTAGACCAGGTACATAGTCCATTAGTGGGATTTGGGGGAAACAAAATAACCAAACACCATAATCATTATTTTTTTTGTGGCCTGGAATCTTTCATCTTTATGAGATGATAGTAATGTTTTAGAAGTATTATTACAGGGTTATTTGATAACAATAATGATCTTTTATTCTTTGTAATGATTGAAGAGTTTTAAAAGACACTTTGATATATGTTAATAATATCTGATCTTAACAGTGATCTTTTCAGATATAAGGAGCAGTAATCACGTCGCACAAGTCACAGTAGGGGAAACTGAGGCCTAGAGCAATGAAACAGCATCCTTCAAAGCTTCAAGCTCAGCAGAGCACCTCCAGGAAGTAAGTGGTCCAACAGTATCCTTTCAATAAGTCATTATTGATGGGCTGATTCAGAGGGAGCAGGGGAAGCTAATTCCCTCTGAAAGCAGTGATTCGATGCTAAGATTTAAGGAGGGCTTTTGTCAGGAGGAACTCTGTGTTGCAGCGAGAGGCTGGTAAGAGCGAACACATCACTCTGGAAGCAGAGTGCATTCTAAAGCCCTAACGAAGCTCTCAGTTCTCTGCACCTTCATCTGTTTCCCCTGAGACGGCAACACTTAAATCACAGTGTCACACAAACTACCCAGACTTGCAGCTTCCACAAGAGATATTCGGTATGTATGGAAGAGATGTTCCCCAAAGCTCTTTCCAATCTATTTTCTCATCCCATGCCTTCCTGTCTAGTTTTTTTCCCCTCCAGAAATAATACTCTTATAGCTTATATTGCTGCTGTTTCTGTCTTAATGAGTTATAGGAGTACATTTTATGGTTTCAGAAACAGCCATCTCAGGCAGTGAATCAACACACAGGCTTCTCTTCTTCAACCGTCTCCACAAGAAAAGAAATGGAGAGGCTAGCAGTGCACCTCCACAAATGATGTACCCCGTTTATCTGTGACACTTTGGCTCCTTCTCTCTTATATCCGAGGCCTCAGTGGCTTTTTGTCCCTGCCCCTGAACTTCCTTGCCCAATTATTGACAAAGGAGCCTGAGGTCAAAGCATAGATGCTGATAAATCATCGTTTTGTTAGTGACAGGCCAAGCTGGCTTCCCACTCCTGCGCAGTGCACAGAAGAAGGTTCAGAAGACAAACTACACCAGCAATCTCCAGTTCAGGACCAGTGAGGCCAGGAGGCATAGTTTTGGTTTTGAAACCCACTGCTCAAATACACAGATGTTCTAATTTATGTTGAAGGTGAAAGCAGCTGAGTGAAAGTCAGATTTCATACATTCTAGTTTCCTCTACATACTTACCTCCAGAAAATGCTCTGCCTGCTGTTCTCGATCCAGCTTCCTTGAAGTTGTTGTAATCAGACCTGTGTAAAAACGAGAATATTTGAATTTGAAATATCTGGGGTGATAGTTGACTGAACATCAGAAGTAAGTCCAGTTAAAGGAAAAACAACAGCGATGGGGATGTGAACTATCAAATCCCCATTGGGAATCAGGGGGTCTCAGACAATAGTCTTGAAACATATTAAAATTTACAAAGAAAACTTTCAAAATTTGTTTCAAGTCTGCTTACCGCAGCTGAGGCACCATAATCATTTTGGGGATATGAAAACTTCCTAAAAGACTACTGTTTCTATCATAATGAGGAGATTCAATGATCCATCTGCATAAGACTAAAGTCCCACCATTAGGACTTCATTAGTTATTTCAGAGTTCTTGAACAATTAGTAGGTTGTTGATACTGATTAGATTCAGGCCATGAAACAGCAATTTCTTATTTAACTGTTATATGCTTATATAATTTTTTTCTACTTGACTAGGAAGGTTATTTCCATGATAATGAATTGTATACACCATTATTTCATATTTAATATCTCCTATCCACTAAAGATCTCTTAATTTTATTTTAGGTGCTTAAATCTTTGCACAAAGTAAGTTCCACTTGGAAAATATCTGGCCTTTCTTAGAATGCTGTTTCTCATGAATGACTCACTACCTGGAACGGACAGGCAAAGGTCAAGGAATAAGAAGACAAAAACTTCATGGGCTCTCAGCTTATGGCACTAATGTGCCTTTTGCAGGTTTTATTATTCTTGTCGTCAAATGGCAAGGGGGAGGCCAAATTCATATTCAATTTCTAGAGTCTATAATATTTCCAAAGAGAATATGAGTGATCTAGTTTTCATGGTGTCGCCTGATTGACAGAAAAAGAACAGAGAGGAAATCACATGAAAACCTCAATAGCCATGAGGTTTGTAAAATATAGAAAATGTATTTCATCAGAATCTGCAGTGGTGTGCCTGGCCTCAAGCTACCATTTATGGTGAAGTGATGGTGGGAGCCCACAAGTATCAGATAAGCCAAAAAGGAGGCTAAGTGACTCCCTAAGCTCATCAAAATAAGACCCAGATTCATGACATTACTCTTCAGAGTGTGGGGTCAGTGTCTTTTACCCTCATCTCTCCTCACGGTCAAAGCTTTTGAGATTCTGTTGCACAAATGATCTGCCTTTCCATGAATTTTCTCTGGTCCTGCCTCAGTGCTTCACCTACATTCATCAAGATTTACCTCAGATGTTAGCCGTCTGGCCCTTTCTCACTGGACTTGCTGAATATCTGTTAGGTCTCACATGACTCACATACTCTACCATGACTGTCCTTGTTGTCCAATATGATACTTTTTTTTAGTAGCTCTGTCAGCTCGGTGTTTAAGTCCTTGCCTCCTGACTGAGAGAAGCTTTGGCTCCATGAGAGAAAGCAGAAGTAGTTTGCATTTGTCAAGATTTACAGCTTTGGAAACTCCATAGGGCAAGTTCTGCTCTGTCCTGTAGAGTTCTGTGAATCAGAATCGACTCAACAGCTATTGATTTATCATCCTTTGCTCACAAATCTATCAAACAGTCACTATGCAGATTGACAGTTACTTTACAGGAATCCATTATCACTGTGTTGATTTTAACTCATAGTGACTCCAGAGGAGAGAGCAAAACTGACATTAAGGGGTTCCAAAGCTGTATTTTTTACAGGAACAGGTTTCCAGATCTTTTTCTCATGGAATGCATGATGGATTCAAAACACCAAACTTTTCATTAGCATCAAACACTTAACCATGATGCCACCTAGACTTCTTACTTCATGAGAAGTACCTGCCTTTTCGTTATGGATCCCTCATGTCCACCAGCCCCTGGACACAGATTAACCAAATCCAACACTAAACTCACTGCCTTTGATTCAACTCCAACATGGCAACCATCTATTAGACATCCCAAGCACTAAATAATCTTAATTAGAACAGACTGCTTAATTTCTCCTGTGAAGCAGCTAGTGGGTTTGAACCATCAACCTTTTGGTTAGCAGTCTAAAGCTAACAATAACTCACTAATAGTTAACAAAGTTGCTGTAAAAGAAAAGGACTTTAAAGTACTATTTTTTTTTATTTTAGTCTTCAGTTTTTCTCTGACCTAAGCAACCTATTGTTAAAAATAACCTAAATTTGGCTAACATTGCATAATAACGAATTTCAGAAGTTCAAGTAGGGTTTAAAAGAGGCTGTGGCACTAGGAATACCATTGCTGATATTAGATGGGTCCTGGTTGAAAGCAGAGAATATGGGAAGAATGTGTTTTATTGACTATGCAAAGACATTTGACTGTGTGGATCATAATAAATTCTGGCAAGCCTTGAGAAGAATGGGAACCCCATTGTTAATATGAAATCTATATCTAGATCAAGAAGCTGGTGTCCTAACAGAGCAAGGAAACACTACATGGCTTAAAATCCGAAAAGGAATACATCAAGGACGTATCTTCTTCTCCACACTTATTTAATCTGTGATTGGAAGAAGACTCATTAACAATCTGCATTATGCAGATGACACAACTTTGCTTGCTGCACTGGGTCAATACACAACATCACCATAAATGAAGAGAGGATTAAAATTGTCCATGATTTAATTTTGTTTGGATCAACAAACAACAGCTGGCAGTTAGGAGGTCAGGAGGTGCACTGCATTGGGCAAGCCCACAGTCAGGGACCTCTCCAAAGTATCAAAGAGCCCTGATGTTAGTTTAAAAACTAAAGTGCGTCTGATTCAGGCTAGTCTTTTAAATCACTTGTTATGTTTCTGACAGCTGGACAATGAATAAAGATGACAGAAGAAGAACTGATACCTTTGAATGATAGTGTTAGAGAGGAGTATTCATTGGCAAAAGAACAAAAGGATATGTCTTGGGAGAGAGTGCAACCAGAGTGCTCCTGGGAGGCAGAGATGGTAACACTTCATCTCTCATACTTGGACATGTTGCCAGAGAGGTTTTTCCTTGGAAAGGGACATCATGCTTGGAAAAGTGAAGGGTCAGAAAAAGAAAGGAACATCCCTCCCATGCCATGAGACGAACTGACAGAGTGACTGTGGAAATGAGCTCAAGTGTGTCAGAGATGATGAGAATGGCACAGGATAGAACAAGCTCAAGTCTATTGTTCATAGGGTTGCTATGAACAGCACTTGACTCGATAGCACCTAACAATAACATGTTTGTTTGTGTATGGGAAGATATTTAAGCATGTGGAGAGTACCAGGTATTTATATTCCTTTAAAAGTCTTTCCTAGTTTCCTTTATGTGAATAACACAATGTCAGGCAATCTGGAAACAGAAAGATGAGTGTACGTTAGATTACAGAGTTTCAAGGTTGAGGGTACATGATTGGCTTTCCTTCCCTGTTGGTCCACTGTAATCACCTGGGACACACAGCGGCCCCTGCTAAATCCCAAATCAGCTGAATCTCCTGCGAGATGACCTTAGGTGGTCCTCTGATGACAAGAAAGGGGCTTTATCCAGTTCCTTTATTGAGTTCCACTGTGACTTTTTATTGTTTTGGGGGTTTTTTTCTGTCCTACTGCTTCCAAGAATGAAATACACTCAACTATTCTAGCAGTTGGGTCTAATTGTCCAATTCTTTGTATGTATAAGGGAGTGAAATAAAGTGTGTGTGTGTGTGTGTGTGTGTGTGTGTGTGTGTGTGTGTGTAAGAGGGCACACACCTGCACATGTGTGTGAGGACAAATGTGTGTGACAGTGTGTACATTGTGTGATGAATGTGTGTGAGGGAGGGGGGTGTGTGTGTGTACATGTGTGTGTGGGGGGAAAGAATGAGTGTATTCATTCATGTGTCTTAGAGACTGTATGATAGAAACTGTGTGTATAGTAGGAAAAGAAAGAGTGTGTGTCTGTGTAAGAAAAGGAATATGAGTATAAAAGAGAAAGCATGCCTGTGTAAGAAAGAGTGTGTGTGTGTGTGTGTGTGTGTGTGTGTGTGTGTGTGTGTGAGAAATGGAGACAGGTATGGGGGGGGGGGGGTGCTAACAGAGGGAGGGAGCAGCAGGAGAGCAGCTCTCTGACTCATCCTAAGAGCATGGCGGTCACCCCAGTAGGGCGTCCAGCATACAGATCTGACACCTTCATATTTAGAAATGTGACAAGGTCATATGCCACTCTGTGGCTCTTTCCAAGTGAGAAGTAGCTCCTCTTTTCACAAGGATGTGAGAGGTCCTGGCCGAGTCTCCCCTCCTCCCCATGACATTCTGTTAGAGGACATGACGGGAATGAGAACACTGAGCCCAGGAGGGGTAATGGGCTCTCAGCTCTTCTCTCTCTCTAACAGGCACAAAAGGCCACCAGTCCCTTTGCTTTTTATTGTCCTGAGGACTCTCAGGTCACTTTAGGTTGGTTTCCCTAGGGTCACCGCCAAGGTCATTGTGGCGTGACTGTGCCCAATAGTCAGCTTCTCCTGATGGTTCTCAGACAGCGTCTTCCTTACAATGCACATTCTTAACTAGGAGGGCTGCCACTCTCTTTCCATGTGCAGACCAGGGAGACAGGCACCCTGAAAATGTGAAACTACATGCTCAGCTGTGAACCTAGAGCTGTGAGGACACCAAGCACCTTCTCCAGGAACCACGGTGGGGAAACAGCTGTGAGTGGCAGGGCTCCAGGCTCCTAAGCTTGATGTCCTCAAGTTGATATGGACCCACAGTGACTCTAACAAGGCTTATTTTTAATTGTAAATACTACCAGTTTTTGTTTGGGTGGTTTTCCCCCCCTTTAGCTTAAATATTTGGGGGGGGTTTCCCCTTGGGAAAGTAGAGGATTGGTGAAAAAGAGGGAAGCCTTCCATAAGAAGGACTGACACAGTGATGGCACCAGTGATGCAAGCAGAGACTATGAGGCTGGCACAGGACAGGGCAGCGTTGCGTCGTGTCATACAGGGTCAGTGTGAGCTGACTGACTCAGCAGTCCCAAACAATAACATTAACTGGACCCCTTCTTTTCTAACAGGATACAAGCAAAAGTGTAGAGGGTGTATCT